ACATTTCTGAGATAGTGGATTGACTCACCAAGCATGATACCTGGTACAAAATTGACCTTCCAGAAATGTTCTTTTTTCTCATTGGACTTGTTGAATTGAATGATGGGTCTCAGAATTTATCACAGACTAGCAATTAGTGCTGAGTGTTTTGCTTCCCAATTAATGTTACTGAGCTCTTACTTTTCTAGGAAAATTAGACCATGTGAAACCAACCTTTTTCTCCCATATTCATATAAATGGAGAAAATCACATTCTAAGTATGGTGTTTTTACAGTATTCTTGATCAAAAGTTGTATTGGAGTTGTTTGATATGGGTAGGTATTGAATGGACCATCTGAGGCCCTCTTGGAATCTAGAAGTGTAGTGTCTGGGTTATGGTATTTCAGATATTCTAAATGTTTGAGGTTTTATGCCATCGTAAAGACCCCGAGCAAGTGGTGTGTTATCTTAGCTTCTGCCTCCAGAGCAGGATCTGTGATCAAACAGGATAATACATGGCATACTTGCATATCTGGAATTTCAAAGTAAGGATGTGTGTATGTCATATGTATGTTTGTGTATATGTGTGTGCATATACACAAAACACAGTCTTTAATTTAAAAAAAAGCCAAAAGGTCTTTACGACCCATATACTTTTCTCTGCTTACTGCTCTCCTACTAGTTAATAATTCAATTTATAGCAGGAATTAATCATTTAGTTTGATAATATAATTAATAAAAGTTAATCTGTACTACTTCACGCATTGCACACACATTTCTAACCCTCACAACAGGCCTGCAAAGTAGACATCATTATTTTCACTTTCACAGTGAAGAAAATGAAGGCTCAGAAAGGTTTAAGTAAATTTCACAGGAGTCCTTAAGTAGGAAGTGTGAAGTTGGAATTCATACCTAAGACTAGCTGATTTCAAAGCCGTTGTTCTTTCCCATCATACTCTTGGATCTGTGTTTTACAATTCTACTAGACTGTGAGATACGGATATCAGGAATTGTATCTTAAAATGTTATAAATTATCCAGAAAAAAATAACTTGTGGCAAACGCTGCTCTTGCTCAAGGAGGTGTAGGGAGGTGCTCAGGGGCGTATTAATTAATTAATTAATTAATGCTTCAGACCCCTAGAGAGCACATAGTGCCTTCACTTTGGGAAACAGACTATAGAATGCTGTGTTATAGCTAGTGAGGAAGATTCCAATGGGAATCACACTTCGGTTTATTCCCCAAGCTTGAACCAAAGCTCAGGACTGGAGGTACTCTGACCCTTTTGCTCACTACTCTTACCTGCGAGCACATAGTTATCTTTGATAAACTTTTATTAATGAGTGAGTAAGTGATGCCCGTAGGAGCCTGTTACTGTTACGCCAGAGTTTTTATATTCCCTCCTGACCTGGACAAAGCTTTTTTCATATCTAAGCCACTAACTATAAGAGCACAGAGGGAAGTGAGGGTAGATGGAATAACATAAGCTTATCATCTCTGCTGGAAATACCAAGGCAAGGCCCATGCCCTTCAGAAGGTAGGTTACTAGCATTATCTTTTGAATAAAGGATGGTAATAATGAGAAATAAATCCAAAACAGGTCTGTGGCTGAGGAGAAGGAAAGTTGGGGCTTTACATTTGCCAATAAATAGTTAGTTTAAAAAAATAACTGAGGCCATATATTTCCAGGATAACAGTGCATAGTGGATTAGAGCCATGAAATAGAGTCTGGACAAAAATGTTTTGCAAAATGTGACATATTTCTTACATTGTATAAATGTTGTAATTCATGTTAATTTTAAGTCATAAAACTTCCCAAATCAAAACAGTGTTGGCTTATTTTAGGTATTGTTACTTGGAAGATTATCAGATGTCTTGTATGGTTTTTACTCTCAGGAAGCTAAAGTTCATATATTGCAAACAGGTGCCATAATTCTTTCTCCGATTAAGCTGTGTGTTTAACCTGTACTGATGTTTTAAGGCTTTGAAATAATAATTGGTAACAGTTAATTATGATATCATATTGTGTTTTGATTTTCATTTGGATAAAAAGTAATTATTTTCTGAAATATGTTTATCACTTCCTTAAAAATAATTTTTCTCTTCATGAGTTTCCTACTGAGCAAGCGATTCATATCCAGTGGGGATAAGAGAATTCTCTATTGTATAGGGCATTAATAATAAAAGTAAGCTAGTAAGTCTTTATTAGGCACCTGTAATTGGAATGGATATTATGGAGAAAGAGGAAGGAAAATAAAGAGCTCTCTCTTTCCTTGGGGAAAACTATAATCTAGTTAAAACACAGCAATGTGGCTGTGGTTTTGTAGATTCAGATTTAATTTTATTCAAACCATGTTCCTCAAACCATTGCTAATGTAGTAAAAAACTAATATACCATAATATATAAAAACATTATTTGTTCTTTTCCTCAATACCAAAACCCTCAAAGAATTTAATTGAACTGATACTTAATGGAGTTTTAATGTTGATTTCATTTTTTTTTAAACTGAAAGATGTTTTAAACTTATTCTTGAGGCATCGAATGTAAAATCTGAAACAGTGCCGGTGTTGTTAAGGAAATCTTGTATGACCATAGCAACACTTCATGGATGTTAAGGTATCTATGAATAACACCAACATTGTAGCATGCATGTTTTGAGGGGAGGGGAATGTGAATTTGACCACCATTCAACTCATATACATTTTCTGTCTTATAGAGAAGAAACTAATTTTAATAAATGTGTTCCTTTTGTGATACTCTTATGTAGTAAATTTAAAGCATGCAAAATTATCATTTAGAAAGTGAATGACTATATTTAAAGCACATTTACAATTACAGGAGATTACTTAATACATTGCTATTCTACTGATTCATGTAGATAATTAATTTTTTAATAAAGTTTTAAAGCATAAATCTTATAATTTTTTAAAAATTTGGATTCTTGGCAATTTTTCATCAGTGAAAACTTTATGCTCTTTAACTTGGCCCTTGGTATGTTTCTCATTATGTACAGTAATTAAAAAATAAGGTGAAATTAATGCCATATTTGTTATAGGTATGTTATCTTTTTACAAATTTTCTTTTAATTGAATAAAACTAAATTTTCTACTACATTTGTGGACCACCAAAGAAGGAGAGGTTAAGGAAAGAGGGAAGGAAAGAAAGAAAAAGATATAAAGGATAATTAGATCCCCAACACTTAATGTAATTGTGTTTTACTTTAAACTCTGTTAGTTCTTTATATTAGGATACACTGAAGAAAAAGATCATAAATTAGTCTGCTAAGTTCCAGCTCAATATGTAGTCATTTATAGTATTTATTTAGTAAAACCTGGATTTCCAGAAACTTGCATGCATGGGAGGTCTGTTTTGAGTTGACTTTTATGAATAGAATTCTATTTTGACTTAGCTGCTTAGAGATACCTTCCCCTTAATTCTTAAATTCTATTGAAATGGTGAATCAAGTTACCTGATTAAAAGTGATTATGTGGTCACAATTTTTTTTCTCCTAAGAACTAGAGATTCAGATCTCTGAAAACATTAATGAGTATGGGATGGTTATGATAGTCCAGCTGTCTTTGTGTGTGTTTCATTTAAATGTAAATTTATCTTAGCTACCCTAAAGATGATCTCAGAAGGTAGAGAATTTTAATGTGAATAGTCATTTTCTTCTCCCCCCCTCACCCCTGCAAATACCGAAATCCCTATTTTACGCTAAAGAAAAAAAAATTATTAAACAGCTAATACTCAACTGCCTTATTTTAAAGGTTCTTAGTGGATTGTAAGTTTTCTCTCTTCAGTAGTTTTTTAAAAAAGAAAATTAACCTATATGCTGTAAAAGTACTATAACAATAGTTAAACAATTGCCAGTATGATGCTGAGTATTATAGTGTTCTGTAAAGGAAAGTGGTAGTGTTTTTAAGCAGAAGTCAGGTTATAAAAACTCATTTAAAATAATTAACTCTGAGATGTTAAACAAACGAACAAAAAAACCAGCTCTTGAAGTTAGCATGTACACTGACATATATGTGACACACACACAAATCTATACACTGTATTATATTTAGATTATATTTTTTAATTGCTAATTAAAACTTAGCCTGATATTACAATTATAAATCAACTCCCAGGAACAATTTTCGAGGGCCAGTTTTTTAGGTAGTTTCTACTTATCACTCTTAAAACAGAAGGGTCAAGATTCGAAGCTCTGTGTTTTTCTTCATTTTGTAGTCACTTTGGCATTGTGTAAGCTACCTACCATGAATGTCCTCTGCAGGAAAGTTACCTTCTGTTGCCTTAAACAGCCTTTTCTACTTCCCTACAATAACACAGGCCATTTCTGAGAGTTAGGGTTGATTGCATATTTGAAAGTCATTTTTGTTTTTGGTCATTGCAGCCACTAGCCTGTGATTATCTCATGTTAAAACAACAAACAAACAAATAGAACAAAAACCTCTTTGATCTATTCTAACCTTTCTATATGTAAATTTTGGAAGAGTGACACTGTAGCATGCCAATAAAATGTACTGCACTGAATTTCCAAAGTAATTATAAAAAGGATTATAAAGTTTATTAAAGGGATTGCTATTTATTGGTTGATAAAGTTTACTTAAGCCACATAAATGTAAATATTTTCTAAGCAACTCCTATGCAGTCAAGGGTTCCCTTTAAAGAAAAGGTCTTTGTTTATTCTTATCTTTCTTTTTTTTTTTACAGTTAGGAGAGTGAAGGAGTGTTTTTTGAACATTTTTGAGAAGTTTTGAATTTTTATTTATGCCACTCTTTAATATACAAGTTTTCATTGAACACTTGCAGATTTGACATAATTCTGCATGTTTTGCTCTAATTAATAGTTGCCCTTTTGAATTTAAAACTGTGTTTTACGGTAACCAGAGGTATGAAATGTATATTTTTAGCAGTGGAATATGTTGAGGTGTTTTCCTTGAGAAGAGGAATATTAGTACCATGCTTAGGTGTAGTTCTCACCTCAAACACAAATCTCTTTTTTGCTCCTTCCCCAGCTTTTCTCTGCTCCCTCTAAACTCCTGAGGCTTGGAGAAAGAGAACTCTTAAAAACCAGTTTTTCTCTATTTGAATGACAGACCTTGCAGAAGACTTGTGTGGAAGAGTTTCTCTCATCCCAGGTACAGTTTGTGAATACTTTGTAAAAATACTGTGCTGTGGTAACACCTTTACTTTCTCAAACAGTTGCTTTTATTTTTTGACAATGTCCCACTTCATCATTTGGAACAAGGCCTAGTGAGTCTAAAACACACATTTTGAAACAAAATTTTTATGTTTCTTAATACAATTTGGAAATTAGTGTTAACATTTATTTCAATTATTTTTGTTGATAACTTGTCATAGGTAGTTGTAAAAAGTGTTTCTGGTTTATAAACTATGAACCCCTTTTCAAGGTGATGGCCTAGTGATAACAACCTGCAGAAAAATGACTGTGTTATACTTTCTCTGGGCATATTTCTATTTTGTGTCATGGTTTGAAAAAAACAATAGATGAGAATAAATTAGCATGAATATTTTAAAATCATTCCTCCTGGTAAAACTTCATGCCATGCCTAAGAAACACATAGTGAGCTATTAAAGTCTCACTATGAGCCTTTGAAACTAATAGTTTTCAATAACTATTGCATAGCACTTTCCTCAATTTACGTTTCACAAGAGCATCTGTTTTAACAAGTTAGATGGTATTGAGGTGAGGGGGCATAGATAATTGTAAAAACTTTATACCTCACACTCAGGGTTATTACCTGGTAACTGAAAATGCTATCCAAATCTATTTTTGGAGTGCCAGGGCAAGTGGGGGATGGGGGGAATGAAACTTGAATCAGTGACCATCTGGCCCAGATTTGGCTGATTTCCTGTGCACTGCCCTTTGTTTCAGCCAGACAATGGATTGTTCCTTTTACAGATAAGAATTCTGTTGATGACTTTGTGCTGAATCAGCAGGTTTGATTGGGGATCACAAGCATTGACTCATATTAAAGGGCTTTTTATTGTTTTGAAGTCACTATCCTTGTCTTCATCAATTACAGAAATAGTTTTGAGGTCCTAGAGTGGTATTTTTTTACAAACAACACATCAAATAAAAATAATTGGGAATGCAGTTTTCTAACTTGGTATTACTTGCCTTAAACATTGAAATTTTCTTTGTCATTTAAGTTTCCAAATTAATATGGCCCATTGTGATTTTCACCAAGCCTTTATGCAGAATCTTTTCTTGTGTTTTTTAAACTTTATGTTCTAAATCTAAATAAGACTTTTATGACGTGGCTGGTGAACTAAGTTTTCTGTTGACATATATCTGCAAATTACATTTTAGGAAGATAGAGCTCTTTTCCTTACCTGAAATGCTACCCAGTCATCATGACTCTGTTAAAAAACTGGTTATTGACTAGAAGTAGGGAATCTTGTTTGCCTAGCAGTCCTAGTAAGTCAGCCATCAGTTTTTGTAGGTTATCTCAGAAGTAGTAGAGATCAGAGTATAGTTAAATGCCACTTTTCAGAAGATAAGAGCTAAAACGTCAGTGCGCTCATCTTGCTATGTGGCCAAGAAATATAAAAATATATATATATATATATATATATATATATATATTTTACTTCTGAAGTTATAAGAGGACTGAGGGCAGATTTTAAGTCAACCTTTTAGTTTAACTCTTGTCTCTTATGATAGCAGAATTGCCACTTAACTCTCCAGTGCTGAATTTTTCTGCAACTTTTTCTAAAACAACTTATAACTTTAAAATCAAGCAGCTGATCAGAATGGACTGCTTTGAGAGCTAATCTCTAATTTTTTGTGTAAGTAAAGGTGTATACTCTTTAGGTAGAATCAAGGAGCCTGCTCATATGAAAACTTAATAGTTCCTCAGGGATCCAATTATATAAGCAGATGGGACCACATGGCACAGTTGAGTGTCTTTGGTGTGATTAATTTTAGGTCCATGTCTAGCAAAAGTGAGCAAAAAGAAATGGCACAAAATCTTAGTTTACATCCATTTGGGGCACTGTCCATTCATTGGTTGCTCCCTTTCTCTTTTGGATATCTTTAGTCAATTACTTGCTCTAACTGATACTAATTAAGGCCTCAGAATTGTTTGCTTGGTTTAAATGCATGGGTAGTTTGGATATGCAGATGTCATGAATGTTAACTGGAATCAAATATCCATATTTAGAGAACTGGTTAAACAGTAAAATAAAGCAGAGTTAAAAAACTCTATCAACATGAAGACAAGTTCTGCTTTATTTTCTCTCCTGCTTTAATCAGAGACTAGTTCAGGGAACTTGTTCGAGGTGGAGGGGAAGGTCTTATCCGTTTTTCCCCCTCCCCCCTAGTCACCCTTTACCCCCCAACCTTCAAACCTCACTGAGGAATTATAGTCTCTACAGAGGCTTGGTTGCAGATGCCTGGAAAGTTTACACTGCAGAGAGTTGTTTTGTTTGGCATAGCTAATCAGGAGCCAGGCTGGAATTGCTCATAGCTGTCATTCAGGTTTTGTTTCAAAGTCCAAGGACCTGCTGGGAAAAACAAAAAGCTAATGAAAGCTGACTGTATTTAGGCTTCAAATCTGTGGAATCTGAAATGATGTCCTGACAGTGTATTCTTATTCTTCCACATTCTTGCTGTTACTAAGGTAACAGATTTTTAGAGGCTTTTCATCTTCATTGTCAAGTATTTGCTACACTTATTGTTGTTTTTCAGATTAGAGCAATTCAGATTATCTCCTTTTGAGATGAAGGAAAAAGAGAAAATAATGGAAATAAAATGTCTGAATCAATTACTTTGAATGCTAGTAAGACAGTTTTTTTTAATGTCTTGAAATCCTTAGATTCATAACACATATTAAAAATTAGGACAAGATCAGTTTCCTCAAGTTTGAGAGTGCTGTGTATGTGAAATTCCTATTCCTATATGACTTAGTAAATATTCAAATAAAGAGGAAAAGGTTTGTAGTGAAATACTGTCTTTAAAAACTTTCTTCTTAAATTAAAAACTATATGAAGAGTGATGTGTTTGCATTCTTATCTGTAAATGATAAAATAGATTGTGGTGAATATATTTACTGAAAAAACTTGGTTTTTTAATATTTGTTTTCACAGGATGTGTTGCCTTGGTGGATTAACATTCATCTATAAGGAAATGCTGTTGTTTTTGTAGTCCATTTGGGGCACATATTACTTGTGGTTTGATAAGTAATAATGAAAGGATAATTTTGTGCAGACAAGGTGTTCTTTGGATTGGCTTTAAATTGGCAAATCCCCAGGGATATGCTTCAATACCAATCTTATTGTCAAGATGTTGACTCATTAGAAGATAACAGTTTTTTCACAGACTTATCAAACATCTTCATCAAGTACTCTTTCCCCTGTGGCAACGACTAGAATATTGAAATGACCTAGTTTAGTACTGATCAGATCACATCACTAATTTGGTCCCAACACAATAAAAGCCTACATTCATGGAGATAAGATCTTGGCTTAATTTTGTTCTGAGAAGTAAATGAGTGAGAGAGCAGCTGGCTAAATGGAAAAGAACCCATAAGGATTTAGAAGAGAAGTGACTGAAGTGTGTCAGGAGGGCCTTGTTTTAATTTCTTTACTTTTGTTCTTATTATTTCCAGACTGAAATTTTGTCTTCTCTCTTCTCCACCTATCTAAATCCTGTGCCTCTAAAGGTCCACCTCGGGTCCTTCTTCATTTACTAAGCCCTTTTCAAGTGGCTCTGGTGTCCAGATAGTTAGAGAGGCTGTATCCTCCACTGGTCACAGTTAAAGAATTGTTCAGATACAGTTTTGACATTTTTTTGGAAAGAGAATGCTTAGGATGAGGGAGATATGAAGGGAAAATAATGTAAAGGTAATAGATCACTTGAAATAGGGCAAATTTAATCCAGGTAAGATTTTGAAAGAAACAAGACAACTGTCTTCAAGGGCTGACATTTGCAGCTGAAATTAGATTTATTCTAATTATCTTTAAATCAGTGTTTTTCAGATTGTGCTCTTCTAAACTGCAGGGATTTCGAGATGAGCCTTGGGCTTCAGAGGGGTAGAGAAGAAGAGGGAACTGGTGGTCCCCTGCAGCAGCCAAAAGAAGAGTTCCACTTTTAATTGCTCTCTATATTGGGTTGTGCCTTAAATTTTTAAAAAAATACACATTGCACTGCTTTAAAAAAATAAAGTTTTGAAAGTCACGGTTGTATAGAATAATAGGTGAGAGTTTTGGTTTCAAATCAGGATAGTGTTGTAGCAATTTGAAAATTTAAATAGACTGCTTGTGAGATGTGAGTTCCACATTCATTTAGAAGGTTAATGACTCTGACAAGTATGTTAGAAGATTTCTCCTTGGGGGAAAGGTTGGGTTGGAGGTCCTCTAGATTTCCTGTAGTTCTAAGATTATGTAGTTGATTTCTTCTCTTATTTTCAATGTCAGATAATTTGGCACTTAGCTGTTTTCTATTGGGTTCAGGGTAAACCCCATCTCCCATTAAATCATGAGGCTCCAGAGAGGAAGAACAATGTCTTTACTGATTTTGGATTCTTCAAATCTCAGCACAGATGTGGAGGCCCAGGAAAGACTTGTTGGTACAAGAAATGACTACAAGAAGCACTTGCTTGACTGCCTTATTGTACTATCCAGTCATAAAGGATGATAAGGGAAAGTATTTGCAGGCTTTTTATTTTGCTATTGCTTCTGCCCTTCAGGAATAGTAGAAATGACAAAGATTTAAGATAAGCCTCCCACTCCTCCCCCCTTTTTTTTGCCAGGAGACCAGAATACTACTGTGTCTGGAAAAGTGGACATGGCTCCCTGAGCCTAATAGATAAAGACATGAATGTGGAAATCATGACTCTCCATAGCAACTGAGAAACTGAGGCATAACAGAAGGACAAAGTGAGATGTCCTAGTATTCCCAGTACAGATATGGGAGTACATTATAAAAGGATCACATTAGCAACCTGTACTTCAGGGGGTTTTGCCCTATGATTCAATTGGTTCTGATTTTATCAAGAACTAAAATTAAATGTATGAGTTACGGGAAGTTTCCCATATGCCAGATTGGAATCTGATAATTGTGGTAGAATTGATAGGGGCAGACAGGTGTTTGGTGAACACAGTGTTATCCAAA